TGAGAGTCTGGGCTATTTTTAGGTTGATACATTTTAATCCTATACCTGTCGTATGCTATATTGTAGTTACGCTGTCCTTTCATGATAATTGTTCGTGTATTAAACTGTCCAAAATTTGGTTAATAAACTTTCTTTTATTCTAAACACACTTGATGGTGCATATAAATGTATTTCCTCTAAACTTAATTATCCTCTTTATTACTCAGTTTTCCAGATAAATTTCAATATCTATTTGTATATCAAGTGTGACTCTGGCGGAATACCATAACCTTTCATCAAGCCTTCTGGATTTGATGGAGTGATGCAGTCAAGATGGGGTTCTTTTGTGTACCTATCGATGTCAACACTGCTGAAGGATGCTACAGATTGTGGAAGATCATAAATCAACCTATAAATAGAGATACAACACTATAGTAATTACTTGACCCTCAAACTATGAACAAAATAATTACTACAACAGGGGATTAAACGTATTAAAGCATATACATAAATACATACATTATATATACATATATATACATATATATATATATATATATATATATATATATATATATATATATATATATATATATATATATATATATATATATATATAATTTTTTTTTTTATGTAGATCACAATGAAAACGTGGATAAGATAAAGCGTGATAAATCACACAGAAAAAACAATGGGCACCTTGGCTTGGGGTAGGGGCTGTGGCTCCTGGGGAAGGGAGGCTGTAGCTCCTGGGGGAAGGGGGGCTGTAAGCTCTGGGGAAGGAGGGCTGTAGCTCCTGGGGGCTGTGGCTCCTGAAGGGAGGGCTGTGGCTCCTGGGGCTGTGGCTCCTGGGGCTGTGCTCCTGGGGCTGTAGCTCCTGGGGGCTGTATAGCTCCTGGGGTAAGCTCCTGGGGCTATAAGCTCCTGGGGCTTCTATAGCTCCTGGGGCTGTAGCTCCCGGGGGAGGAGGGCCTCTCCCGGGGAAGGGGCTGCAATCTCCCGGGGAGGGCTGCAATCTCCCGGGGAAGGGCTGCAATCTCCTGGAAGGAGGGCTGCAATCTTCCTGGGGAAGGGAGGCTGCAATCTCCTGGGGAAGGGAGGGCTGCAATCTCCTGGGAAGGGAGGGCTGCAATCTCCTGGGGGAAGGGAGGGCTGCAATCTCCTGGAAGGAGGGCTGCAATCTCCTGGGGAAGGGAGGGCTGCAATCTCCTGGGGAAGGAGGGCTGCAATCTCCTGGGGAAGGAGGCTGCAATCTCCTGGGGGAAGGGAGGGCTGCAATCTCCTGGGGGGAAGGGAGGGCTGCAATCTCCTGGGGAGGGCTGCAATCTCCTGGGGAAGGGAGGGCTGCAATCTCCTGGGGAAGGAGGCTGCAATCTCCTGGGGGAGGGGCTGCAATCTCCTGGGGAGGGGCTGCAATCTCCTGGGGGGAGGGGCTGCAATCTCCTGGGGAGGGCTGCAATCTCCTGGGGGAGGCTGCAATCTCCTGGGGAGGCTTTAATCTCCTGGGGGAGGGCTGCAATCTCCTGGGAGGCTGCAATCTCCTGGGGGAGGGGCTGCAATCCTCCTGGGGAGGGGACCTGTCTCCTGGGGAGGCTGCAATCTCTCTGGGAGGGCTGCAATCTCCTGGGGGAGGGCTATAAGATCCCGGAGGGTGCTGTAAGGTCTCAGGGGGTGCTGTTAGGTGTCAGGGGGTGCTGTAAGGTCAGGTGGGAGCTTCAAGGTCAGGTGGGAATTCTAAGGTCAGGTGGGAGCTTCAAGGTCAGGTGGGGCTTCAAGGTCAGGTGGGAGCTTCAAGGTCCAGGTGGGAGCTTCAAGGTCAGGTGGGATGCTTAAAGCTCCTGGGGCGTACTGTAGGTCAGGGGTGTTAAGGTCAGGGGTGTTGTAGGTCAGGGGGGGTGTTGTAAGGTAGTGGGAGGTGTTTCAAGGGTCAGGAGGCTACCAAGGTCCCCAGGGGTAGTGTATGTTCGAAATCACACCTTGGAAACCCATAGTTGATAAGTAATTAGCATTGAAAAATGTCAGTAAAATATTTCAAGGGTCATTTTGGCCACTAACTACTCTGCAATCGAATCGTGGACCACATATTCATTAGCAGCAAGGTCAGGAGAACCCAAACTGTGATTTTCAGCAAAGTCTAATTTTTGTAAAACAACCAAAAATTAAGTCTTATACCTTACAAAATTTTGGACCAAAATATACTTTGTTCTCAGAATTGATATATGAGGTGTTTAACTAATTAAGTACTTTCAGAATAACACACAAACCCTAAATCACACCTAAAAATCATTTGAACATTTTCTAAAAGCCATTTGAACAAGTTATAATCAAGATATCAAATTTTGGATAACAGATCCTTAAGCAGCACATTCAGGAGTACCTATGAAATTTTTGAACAAAATCCATTTTTGGTCG